CTTTCTGCTTCAAGTTATTTCAGTACCGATTTTCCCTCGGTAGAAGGCAGAGCTATGGCAGAGTTCGTCAATCTTAACCTGCGTTCGGAAAAATTTTACAAAGCTAGAAAAAATATTTATTTATTAACGGCAAGGCCAATTTACAAAAACAATCGTAAAACAATTTACAATAAATAGTTTGACAATAACTAAATCTAAGCACTAACAATCACATCCTGTTCTTCCCCAAGTTAATACCTAACCAAAAAACATACGATTCATTTTTAAAAAACTAACCAGCAAGCAGCCAGCGGTTGCAATCTCCTCTTAAAGGCAGCAACAGAAGGACAACCAAAGATGTCAATACTCCGGCTCCTGGAGTTTGCAAACCTGAGCACCCTTGAGATCGACTCATTCATACCATAATTAGTATTATGGAATGGTACATAAAATAGGTCAGAACCTCTCACCCTTCTTTCTCCTGCTCTCAAAGAAACGAGACCCAAAAGATCCGGGCAGTCAATTAACCCTCCCAAAAGTCTGTAAAGAAAGGAAAGATCCGCCTGAAGTCTCCTGCTTTTCAAGGTATGAACATTCAAGATAGCCCTCATCTCATCATAAGTATACTCATCATGAGCCAAGCCCAACCTGTAAGCAGCCACCCTTAGAAATCTATTCTGAACCCTTTCCAGAGCTGCAATGTGAACAGCATATTGGGGTGACCAAACAACTGATGAGTATTCCAACAAGGATCGGACCATCGCACAGTACAGTGTTCGCAATGTAGGTACTCATTGACATATCAGTAGTGGACCTACATATAAAGCCGAAACATCTAACAGCCCTTGATACAGTATTGGTAACATGGCCATTAAATGACATCTTGGAATCAAATTCCACACCCAAATCTCGAATGCTCGCTACTTCCCTGATTGATGTGTTATTAATTGTGTAAGGGAAATTCACCGACTGGGCCAACCTGAAAAAAGTTATCCTATAACATTTGGCGATATTGAGGTCCATTTCGTTCAAGCCACACCATTTGTCAAAAGAATTGATATCATATTGCAGCAGTTGTGAGTCTTCCAATGATGATACCTGACGATAAAGTTTAAGGTCATCTGGTCATCTGAAAAACTACCCACATCAGATATGTACAGATTGAACAAGACTGGTCCACAGTGAGACCCCTGAGGAACTCCAGAAGGAACATCAAAGACCCGAGACACAACACCGCCATACCTTACTGCCTGTGTTCTCCCAACAAGAAAGTCATCAAACCAACTCAGAATTGAACCTCTGAGCCCCAAACAACCAAGCTTCCTAATGAGCAGGCGATGGTTAACCCTGTCAAAGGCTTTAGAGAAGTCCGAGTATACAGAATCGACTTGGAATCCCCTCTCCATGCTGTTCAAAATAAAATTCTGATACAAAACCAAATTTGTTGATGTTGACCTACCCACCGTAAACCCATGCTGTTCCGGATTTAAAAGATACCTGCAGTCCCAGCTAAGTTTCCTGGTAATGAGACAATCTATCAACTTAGGAATCTCAGACTGCGTGCAAACAGCCCTGTAATTCGTGACCTCTTCTCTTGACCCACTTTTAAATATTGGTTTCAGAAAGCTGAACTTCCACAAAACCGGGTAAGAACCTGTTGACAATGAATGGTTGAAGAGACTTGCCAGGGGCGTCGCAAGGGTATACAGGCATTTCTTTATAAAGAGCAAGGGAATTCCATCCGGCCCACATGACAACTTATCAGGTGAATTTCTTACTTGTTCTATTATATCAGCACAAGAAACAGAGTATGCAGAAACATCAGTGACGTTGGAGAATGAGTATTCTGGAGCCTGGTTAGTGGTGCGGCTCGAGTACACACTTGAAAAGAAGTCTGCAAACAAGTCTACGGTTTCTTGATTACTACAGCCAGTAGAGCCATTATAACTCATGTTACAGGGAAGGACAAAGTTATTTTTGAGATTGTTGAAATGTGACCAAAATGATCTAGGAAAAAACCACAAAGGAAAGTTCGAAGTTCGGAATTTCTTTACTGGAACATATAAAGTTATCCCCTCCCACAATGTTTCATAAAACCATAGAACAGCCTGCTCAAGGGTCAAATCATTCATCAAACACCAATTCACACTAGCCAAATATTCATTCAATGAAATGTAATTGCCACTTTTAAAATCAAAGAAGCACTCCTCATATTTAGAACGTTTGCATTCTACATTATGGCTGAATCCCATAGATATAGCAGTATGGTGAACACTATTACTCAAAATCATATCGGTGGCTCTGTCAATCTCAACAGTACCCAAGTTTGAAAACACCAAGTCAAGCAAAGCATTCCTGCTATTCGTGATGGTGTTTATCTGACGAAAATTGTAATAATTTAGACACTCTATTAAATCATTAGCCGGAGAATTGCCCGCACACTCACTGGTTATACCAAACTCATTATTAACCCGTTTAACCTGTGGTAAATTAAAATCGCCAGCCAGCAATAACTTACATTTAGGATATAAATCAAAAATTGATTCGATTGATTGACAAACATCAACAAACAAGCCTACATCAGACCTAGGTGGCAGGTAGATACAGCCCAATACAAATTCAGATGACTTAATTTTAAAATATACATAAACCTGTTCAACAGTCATAACATCAATGTTTAGTCTTTGGCATTGCAAATCCTTCCTGGCAGCAATCAGAACTCCTCCCCCCCGAGTTCTGGGATCCCCAGTTGATGAACGATCAATACGAAACAAATCAAACTGCTCTGGATAGAGCTCTGTATCATATATATGTTCCGTTAACCATGATTCCGCAAGCATTATAACATCATAGTGACAACATTCAATATCCTTCCGAACCTCACTAAGTTTAGTTTTAAGACCACCAGCATTATTGTAATAGATCAGAATATCAGTGTGACCACCATTCCCAGCTATACACCGGCCTGATTCATTTGATCCCGTCGAAAATTCTCGGACTTGCGTACATTGCTCCACCAGAATTTTCTTAAAACAACACCTTTTGGCCAGATATCAGGTCGTGAAAAACTTTCCTTGCAATCCGAGTGGATGCTTATCTTGAAAGAGATAGTTTCCCCCTTAATTGGCAAAGGTACAACCTTAAGGTCCCTAACATCTGGACATTGCTTTTTAACATGCTGTTCAATAAAATTAGGTGTTACACCCGTTTTAACGCGACCGAGATAAAAATAAGCCCTCTGAATTGAGCCTGAAAAATTTTCATCCCCTGAAAAATTTGCCTGTCCAAAAACAAAACTTTGGTTGCTTTTACGGTTCCTTCTTTTTTGATTTTGCACCAAAGTAAATTCAGTCTCAGCTGATTCCTTGTTTTTATTCTCTTCATCTCCCTCCTCTCTCACCTGTCGAAGAGCGCTTTCAGTTCTCAATCGTGCCTGCACTTCCTGCTCCTGCTCGATTTGCTGCTGTTCTACTTGCAGATCCAGTGGCGCAGGAAAAGAAGAAGAGGAAAATTTGGCAACATTGGTCTGTCTTGTTCGAACTTTGTCTTGTGATGGGGGAAAAGGCGGCGCTGCCACGTCCACCCCGGCTTCCAGTAAGTTGCGTTCTTTTTTTTTGCTTTTCCATCAAAAATCGCACCAGCTCCTTATTGCTCTCCAACACAACTTTGAACATTGCGTCAAACTTCTCAATTAGACGTCCTTCCACCTCCTCTAGGGTCTCATTAAGTAGGCGTTTGGTTACGTCATTATTACTATCTAGCAATTGTGTGTAGTTCGCAGAGACCTCGGAATTAACCTTATTTAAATTCTTATCGGCACTATTGAATTCAGAAAATTTCTCAATGCAATCCCTGCACCATATCAGGACGGTTCTTGTTTTAGCAATTGCACACCTTACCTCATGTGAGGAAATTTTGCTACAATCCCTACAAGAGACTTTCTGGCAATTATCGCATAAACATCCAAACAATTGAGTCTTGCTTTCCTGGAAAAAACATATCTGGGTGCAAAATCCACAAGGCAGCTCATCCATAATTCTCAAGAATTTATGACAAGATGCACTGACAACACTGCGAAAACACTTGCTTCTAAACAATCCGAAAACTCGAGGAATTCGACAATAAGCACAGTTATTTTACGTAATTCATAAGCACAAAACTATGAAAACGTTGTACCGGTTTAGTAAAGAAAATGTGGAGTGGTTATCAAATCAATTTTTGGGTGAAGAGTCTGGAGAAAGAAGAGGTGGTGCTTTATGCAACAAAGACAAATTTAAAATATTTTTAAGATACGTGGGTGACCCGGGGTTTCAGGCAGGAGTAGGCGAGAATGTTGGTGTTCATCAAACTTCGGTGTCTAAAGTTGTATCGGAAGTAGCTGATAAGATAATTCAGCAAAGTGAACGGTGGATCAAATTTCCTCGCAGTCCTGCGGATATAATATTTATCCATTCACAATACGATGTCCACAGGTACAGGTAAAATTTATCATCTTTCAATGCTATTTGATAGGGAAAGGTGATAAATTTACCCGTACCTGTGCACATCGGATTGTGAATAGGATATAGGGCGAAAGAGCGGTGGCAAGCAAAATAAAATGTTGAGTATCTACTCTATGTACTAGGAGTATGTACTCATCAAACCGAAATCTTTTTTATTCTTACGAAATGGAGTATAAACTCAGACTTCATACTCATGCTCACGAGAATATACTCCGAGTTTATACTCAGTTTTTATTCATACCACCCTTTGACCGGCAACACCGCTTTTCCGTTTCAGCTGAATTTTTCTCTTTGCGTTAAAGACAATAAATACGTTAGTGGATTGTAAATTTAAAATAAAGAAAAGACGGAATTAATCCCATTGGTCGGACAGTTATCCGCCGACCAATAAAATTATGGAACGGTAAAAGATATACACAATTGCTAATTTTCAAATTATTACCCTGATATGTATAAACTTAATTAATGAAAAGTAGGCCATCTCAATTATTGTTAATTCAAATTTTCTTTTTCCCGTAGGTCAAATCCATAATGGACGAGGACATGTCCAAGTGGTCCGTCCTCGAAAAACTAATGGGCGACATGAAAAAAACGGAAAAACCAGACGAAACCATCAACCAATGGATGACGGTAGCGCAACCCGTGCCTGACAAAGAGAAAAACCTCCTCGAGAGCCTCAAAGACCGAATGAAAGCGAAAAACGATTTGGAAAAGGCAAGAATAGCCGAACTCGAGCTGCGCCGTCGAGAGAAAGAGCGCGAAGATCAGGAGCAGGAACGAAAACGGAGACAAGCGCGGGAAGATTCCGAACGCGCCGAAAGAGAGCGAAAACGGAAAGAAGAAGAAATGAATAAGGTGTTGGACAAGGACAGAAGCCACATTCGGTTCAGGCCTAGGGATCAGCGGGATCAGCACAGTCGTAGAAGGAGATCGTCCAGTGGTGAACCAGAAAGGCGCGAAAGGAGTCATCATAGGGATAGTAGGGAGAAAGAAAGAGAGCCTTCTCCGCAATTTAGGTAATTTTGATTAAAAGCTTATTGTTATACAAGTTACATTTTCCTATGACGTTAATGGAAATTTTGTGTAACCCCTAATATTTTCTTTTTAGGCCACGTCGTGATTACAAAGCGTCAAGCCCCGAAAAAGACTTTGATGATTCAAACAGCAAAAAGAAACCGCCCGGTCCGCCCAGCTACAAAAAACTACCGTTCATAGGCCGTATGCCGCTGTTCAAGAAAAAGCCTAACAAGACCGAAGAACGACGAGAAATTTCAAAGGCCGAGTACGAGCCGGTGCGCAAAACCCGGTTCGAAACCGGCATGTTGGCGCGCGCCTTCATTCCGAGACCGGACGTTGTCTGTTTCCCCGTACTTTCGAGCATTCCGCCGATGATGGCGCCACCCGAGCCCACCGCCGTGGAGCAAACGGTGGAGCCGGAAGTTGTCGAGGCGCCGCCTCCGCCGCCGCCCAAAGCGTCCAAACGGAAAGAAAAAGTCGTGACGCCACCGCCGCCGCCTCCACCAGAAAACAATCATAATGTAAGAATTTATTTTCTCTTCAAACATTAAATAATACATTCATTCTTGCTTGATATTAAACTGCCCCCATCGCCTATCCACGCCTATCGACCAATCAAATTCTCCGTATTTTCGGAATACGCGAGTCGCAAAGAAATCAAACAAAACATGACGTTCTGTGACTGACTTCAACGTGGCGTTAACTGTCAGATCACAAAACTATAGTTCTTTTCATGTGGCTCCGGTTTAACCATAGATTTGGCTTAACTAACCGGGTTACAAAACGGTTAAAGAAATGACATACCGTTTTCTAACCCGGTTACAAAGTGACGTGATGGATACCTACCACTCGAATTTGAGCGGTATGTTGCGGTTTGTTAAACTGGAGCCATGTGAAAAGGGTTTTTGATTTAAAAAAAAAAAGACTTTTGATGATTGATATTCACAGAATATTTTAAAATCCACAAATAACTTGAGTTAATGTTTATTTTAGGAATCCATGATGCACCATCAAGTAATGGAATCGGACTACTACCAAAACATGTACGATACCAGTCAGTACGATACAAACCAGTACGGTACCGTGAGCCATTACGAGACGGCGGTACCGCACCCGCCCCTGGAACCGCCGCCGCTGCCCCCAGACGATGATTTGGCCATGTTGGGCATTTGCGCAGACGACATGGCTGCTCAAACTTTTTAGTTTCTTTTTTCCCGTGTATTAATTTAGGCCACTATTTTTAATAATAATATCATAATTTTTAATTTGCTTTTGGAGGAGCCATTAGATTATTAGTTGGTTATTTTAATTGAATTGATTTGTTTACTTTAATTCCTTATACAGAAAATAAAATGATTATTGTGTAATTTGGGACCAAATCTTTTTTTCGCCAGTGTACAGGGTGGCCCAAATTCGAGCCTCATCATTGGGATCTCGATAACCGTAAGAGATACGGGGTCCGTTAAATTATAGCAAAGTTGCGCAATTTTATGACCAATAGAGTGACGTTTTGAAATTGAAAGATTCCGAATACTTCCGGAGATATTTAAAAAAAAACGAAATTTTGTAAAACCGTTTTTATTTTTTCCTGGGCTTATTTGAAGGGCAATTTTAAATTAAATGTCACTTCATCATTGTCATTTTTCCCCTTTAGAAGATGGTGCTACTAAATTTAAAATTCGATGTTTCATCTTCAGGCGGCCATCCTCAACTTTCTTTTTTTAAATACAGACCTGGATTTTTTATTTGTGGTTTTGTCATCTTTGGGCATCCTAAAATACTAAAACTGATACTGTTTATAATTTCTCAATAACACCGTAAAAAAAGCAGGTCCCTATTTAAAAAAAATAAATTGATGATCACGATTTTTCGTTTTGAAAGTTGTACTTTTCCGCACTATTTTTTTACTTTTACGCACGATTTTTACTTTTACTGGAAAGTGTACCCATATTAAAGTTCGGGGGCCCCCTATTTGGGGGGCGGAACCCCGCGGTTTCCCCCTATTTGAGGGGGCACAATCCCACGGGGGCCCCATTTTTGAGGGGCACAGTCCCGCAGTGGCCCCTTTTCGGGACGGAGCCCTGGGCCCCTTTTGGGGGGGGCGGCGAAACCCCTTATTTGGGGGGCGGAGCCCCTTATTATGGGGCACAGCCCCGCATGGCCCCCTATTTTAGGTGGCATAATAGCCCCGCGAATGTAGGGAATCCTAACAATTTTTTTGGCCAATTTAGATATAGGCCAAGGATCATGATAAAAAAATCCGGTACCATTATTTTTTTGTGTATAAAAAAATCGTGCGGAAAAGTAAAATTGTGCGGAATAGTTACTTTTCCGCACTAGTGCTGAAAAGTTACTTTTCTGCACGATTTTTTTATTGCTAAAAATGAAGATATTTAGGATCAAATAAATGATTTATGTTGTATATTATTTTATATCGGGTCTTCAAAAAAATAACCAATCAAAGATTGCTATGGTTTTTTAAACGTATGTCTTAGCGATATTTTTCTTTAATTTTGTCAATGAATTTTAATGTCAAAATGGCATGTCAAAAATCGTGACCAATAAAGAAACAATAATGTGACATACGTTTTCGTAGCCAAAGCAATCTTTGATTGGTTTTTTTTTTGAAGACCCGATATTATGTGCTATTTTGTACCATCATTATAAAATCTTTGCGTATTGGAAACATTTTTTTTGATAAATAAGATGGACAAAAGCACTTGTAGGAAATAGCTATTTATACAATAAGTTACGAAATGAGCGTCTTTTAAGCACGACACGTGAAAATTGTCCAACGACTAAAAGACATCGTTTCGTAATGTATTGTATACAAGATTTTTTCTACTGGCATTTTATAATAAAAAAAATACAATTTTATTTCATGTGAATAAATCGATTACGCCCAAAATCTTTGTTTCCTGCTTTTACTTGACACCTGACACTTTTCATGCGATTTTTTTTTCAAGATTCGACATCAATAATTAAAATTCTAGAAAGTAGGTAACAACACAAAGTTCTGTTTTGATTAACCCAAACGTTTAATTCAGTAATTCCATTTTCAATATTCATAATAAATACAAAACAAAATTCAAATATGTGTTTAGTGTGTTTCTTATTTCTGAATAATGAATGACACTTCTAGGCACACAATTACTTTTACGCACTCAAAAGTCACTTTTACGCATTCAAAAGTCACTTTTACGCACTGAGTGCTTAAAAGTAACTTTCACGCACTCAGTGCTTAAAAGAATGTCGTTTCAAAACTGAAATGACAATCGAAAAGTTGCTATTATGAAACGTCAGTAGAAAAAATATTAAAGAATGAAGGCTTTCACGGCCGGTCAAATCTAGCAAAAAAGTTTTTTCCGGGCTATAATGCCGTGGTCCATTAGTATTTCTACCTAACTGCTGCGGTAGACATCTTCAGAGGCGGTGTGGTAGAGGACGAAGTGTTCTCTTCCGTGTTTCTCCGATGACTGAATTCGACGTTGAGGGAACTGCGTTATTTATATCCAGGGTTGTGGGCGTGGCTTGGATTACAGTATTTTCCTTGTCTCGTTATCGGAAAGGAAGGGTCTTTGTTTTTCGGAGAACTGGCAACCAGCTTTTATTGAGGTTCATGCCCTCTTCTTTTCTGTTGAAGTTGTTGTGGTGTTTCTGTATCTCTATGGCTTCTCTGTGGAGCCTGGTGTAGAAATGTTTGGTTCTATCCAATGTTTGAGTCTGTTCGAAACGAATGACATGGTTTGTTTGTGTAAGCACGTGTTCGGCGATTGCTGATCTATCTATTTGTCCTTGCTGACAGTTTCTTTTGTGCTCTTTGACCCTGGTGTTGATAGAGCGTTTGGTTGTTCCTACATAGACAGATCCACAAGAGCAGGGAATTCTATAGACGCCAGCCGATTCAAGAGGTGCCCTAGGATCCTTGGCCGATCCTTAGACTTTGCTGAATTGTTCTTGTGGGCTTGTAGATAGGCTTAATGTTGTGTCTTTCTAGCGTTCGTCCTATGCGATCTGTGACATTTTTGATATAGGGAAGAAAGGCTCTCCCTGCCACCTGTGCTGGTTCCTTGTTAGTTGTCCGCTGCTGCTTCGGTCTTATGGCTCTATTTATCTCCTGCTTGGAGTACCCATTCCCTTCAAGTGCCGATTTTAGGTGTTGCATCTCGTCCTGAAGGTATCTGGGTTCACAAATCCGGATTGCTCTGTCAGATAGAGTTTTAATGACTCCTCTCTTTTGCCTAGGATGGTGATTAGATTCCTTGTTGAGGTATCTGTCCGTATGTGTCGGCTTCCTGTACACTCTGTGTCCCAGTTTACCTGAGGGTAATCTTTCTAAGAGGACGTCGAGGAATGCAATTTTGTTATCCTTCTCAACTTCCATCGTAAACTGTATCCTGGGTTCTATCGAGTTTAGATGATTAAGGAAGTTTTTGACCTCTGCCTCTCCATGGTTCCAAACAACAAATGTATCATCTACATAGCGAAACCAACAAGTAGGTTTCTTTGTAGCCGTTCGTAGTGCCATTTGTTCGAAGTGTTCCATGTAAAAGTTGGCGATAACCGGGCTGAGTGGACTTCCCATTGCGACTCCATCTGTCTGCTCAAAGAATTCATTTTGCCATTGAAAGTACGTAGTCGTCAGACAGTGGTGAAATAAGTTGTTGATTTCTTCCGGAAAAACATCTGTCAGATACTCTAAGAACTGATTTACTGGTACCTTAGTGAACAATGAGACGACATCAAAACTAACCAGAATGTCGTTTGGTAATAGATTGATATCACTGATCTTTTTGATGAAATGAGTTGAGTCCTTGACATAAGAGCTGGATTGGCCAATCCGTGGTTGAAGGAGGGTGGTGAGGTATTTGGCTATGCTGTATGTGGGCGAATCTATTGCACTTACAATGGGCCTGAGTGGGTTGCCTGTTTTGTGAATCTTAGGAAGCCCATATATTCTAGGTGGTAAGGCCTCAGATTTGATGAGTTTCCTTATGTTTTCCGGCTCCAACGGTAGTGCTCGGATGAGTTGATTGGTTTTTCGCAATATAGAAGCAGTGGGATTACGTTTCAGCTTTCTGTAGGTGGAGGGGTCTAGAAGTTCGGAGATTTTCGATTCATAGTCAGTCACGTTCATGATTACCGTTGCGTTTCCTTTATCCGCAGGCAGGACTAGTATGTTCTCGTCTGTATTCAGGCTGCGAATAGCTTTCCTTTCCTCGTATGTCAGGTTGCACTTTGGAGGTTTCGCAAGTCGTAGAATCCTAGAGGTTTCATTGCGTATTTCCTCCGCATTGGTTTGAGGTAATGTGCGTATGCTGGCTTCCACATTTGCTATGATGTCTTCGTATGGCAGGTCTTTCGGTGTTATCGCAAAATTGCCTCCTTTTCTCAGAACACTGGTTTCCGAATCAGTCAGAACGCGTTGGGTCAGGTTGACAACTGTGCGATCATTGCCTGTGGGTTTCGTAGTGTTTACTGGCTTCAAGGAGTTAAACTTGTTTACCAGTTTCTTGGTTGTTTTCGCTAGTGTGGCTTCCATCACGTCATACGTCATCCGGTCAACTTTGTCCCAGTCACTCCAGTGCATGCTGTTGAATAACCTTTGGTTTGGAAATACCGTAATTCAAGCCACGCCCACAACCCTGGATATAAATAACGCAGTTCCCTCAACGTCGAATTCAGTCATCGAAGAAACACGGAAGAGAACACTTCGTTCTCTACCACACCGCCTCTGAAGATGTCTACCGCAGCAGTAGACGAAACGTTAGGTAGAAATACTAATGGACCACGGCATTATAGCCCGGAAAAAACTTTTTTGCTAGAAAAAATATTGTACCTAACTCTTGCGGAAAATGTCTTTCCACCCTCGACGGCTTGCCCGAACTCCGCTCCGCGTCGTTCATGCAACTGCCGTCTCGTGCGGAAAAGTACACTTTCCGCACTTGTTAGGAAAATAACTATTTCACAATCTTTCTTAATAAAATCAGGAAAAAATGAAAACTATACGAAAAAAACATGGATTTCTCGTTTTTCTTAAATTTTTTCCTGATTCCATTTGAAAAGATTTTGAAAAACTAATTTCACATTCCCATTGTCACTTTTTCTTCTCTACAAGATAGCGGTATTAAATTTGAAATCCCACGTTTCGTTCCTCTGGAATCAACAGGGCCGGATGGGCCCACCGGGATGCCGGGAGATTTCCCGGTGCGCCGGTCCTTCAGGCGCCGATAAGCGCCGCCGCAGGAAGTTCGAATTGATGAAAAAGCAAAAAAAGCCGGATAGCTAATTTATTAATTGATGTGGCAGTTGAGAAGTATGCATGCCGATGCCGTAAGCGCCCATACCATTCCTAAGTGCCGGTTTC